CCTGCCACTGGTCTATAAGGTCTAAAGGTTAGGGCGTGGACAAAAAAAAAGCGGAGATAAAGAAAAAGCGAAGGAAGCAAGTTTATTAAATTTTCTAGCAAAAAATTGATAAACAACTAGCAAATACTGAAGGAGTTCAAGCGAAAAAGGAAAGCAAAGAAAATCCTAAATGCTCCCTAGAAGACTATTCTTCAATAGCTTGGACATCTCATGACTACTCGGTCGTCACACCTTTAGCAGCCTTGATGTTCTCAGCAGCGGTATCATCCGGCGCTTTACCCTCAGCTGTCCCAGCCTGGACACCAACTTCTCCAACTACTTCACCGAAAGAAGACTCAAAAGTAAAAGCAAGCAAGTCTTCTGGAGAAATAGAGAAGGTCTCGAAATCTTTACCAGAGAATTCAAAATCAGACGGTCGCCCATAGAGATGATCCACATAACCCAGCTTGTAGAAATCGGCTTGACTCTGAGTAAGCGATGCCTCGAACCCAGCCTTCTCAACTTTCAACTGCTCATTCTCCTCAAGCAGGCAAGCACGGACCCGCTGCAACTCCTCAATTTCCTTCTTCAGATTGTCATTGATCTTCAAAGTACTTTGAAGCTCCAACACTTGAGGCTCAAGCCTATCGACAACCTTTTTGAAATGGATCACTTGGTTTGTAAACAGCAATCAATTATTCATCCTTCGCATAAGCAGCAGAGTGGAATTCAGAGATATAACGCGCAAGATCTTGAATTTGAGGTATGTAACCCTCGATTTCCTTCTCTGCACCTTCGTACTTTACTTGGATCGCATCAAGTCTAGTCTTCAAATCCATGATCTCTTGGCGAGCGGCCTCAAGCTGTAGGGAAGTGGGGGCAGGAATGTTAGATCCCTTCAAAACAGCAAGCTCAGATTCCAATTTATTGATTTTTTCGACTGAGGAGTAAGCTTCGGCAGCCATGGTTCTTGCCATCTCTTTAGCAGCCTTGGTATCATCTTGGTCAAGGAACATAGACTCGGCTGCCAGAAGTGTTGTTTTCTGCATCATGGATAGCAAAGCAGCCTTCCTATACTCGGAGGTGTGCTTCGCGAAAAGACTCGGACCAACAATTTCCCTGACGCCATCAACAAACTTGGCACATGTATCCATGTCTTCAAGTAGATCTGGTTTCAAAAGCGCGCAAACCTCAGCAAATTCTCCAGAAACAGCCTTGGTGGATTCGCCAAGCTTGCCTGAACGAACAGTTTCCTTCTTATCAGTAGACGAGTTGGGTGCAGCAGCGGAAGAAGCAGGTTTTGGCACCATTTTAGCAGGCATAGACACTTTGTCACTCTTCATAGTAGCAAGCCTCTCCAAAGGTGAGCCAGAATTAGCTCCAGACGAACGCTTTGGCACAAACTTCGGTACCGGAGGCATGGAGGAACTTCTGCGTTGGGTAATTTTTTTAGCGATCAAGCTAGCATCCTTCGAAGCAATAGGCATCACCGGCACGAATCTAGCAGTTCGTTCTTTCTCGCCTTTAGAGGAAGTCAAGTCAATCATGATCTTGGGAATAACTGGAAAATCCTCACAAACAGTCTTCAGTTTCTTTTCAACAGGCGTCTCTTGGGCAGGCGGGGAATGTTTCTTTTTCCCACCTTCATTGATAGTAGGCGCCGGAGAATCCCCGCGAGCAGTCTTCAGTTTCTTTTCAGCAGACGTCTCTTGAGCAGACGAAGAATGTTTCTTTTTCCCACCTTCATTGATAGTAGGTTCCATCATAGCAATGGGACGAGCCATCGCGTCTGCCTTGATCCGTTTTATCTCTTCTTGTGGGGGCAGCCTACCTTTTTCCCTACGAAGATGACTAAGCAGCCAACGCCACTCGCGATATTCGAAAGGGATACCCAGAGTGACGTGTACTTTCTTCATGTCCGAAAAAACCTTAGGAGTTGAGCCAAATTCCGAATTTACAAAAAACAGCGGAAGACAATCAGAAAGTTGAAGAGTAACTGGGCACTAAAGTAAAGCAGCCTGCTTACCAGATATGAAGACCGTAGGAACACGCAGCTTGGAGGAAGAATCAGACTCCCATTCTCCACTTATCTCCAAAGTCTCTTTGGCCCAGTCGTGATCTCCTTTGCTGGAGCTATCAAAAAGCTTATGACGAGATCGCAGTTGCCCAACTCCATCAATGTGACCTATGTTAAAGAAATACCAAAATTCGTTGGTGGTTAGTCCCAAGTCAAAGAATTGGTTCAAATTGTGGAACCCCACCATCACTCGGACCGCATTCGGGGAACATTGGGCGGGCGCACATTTCATGGAACATAACACTTCTTGGAAGAAACGCGGCATAGGGAAAGTAAATCCTAACACAAAATAGTAAGGATGAAACTTGATAGCTCTCCGAGTTCCACTGCATGGTTCCCGGCTGCTACCATCCTTAACTCGCCTCACACGCACTTCCGACAGAATGGCATGCCAATACGCTTCAAGAAAATCTCTAAACAAATCGTCGGAGCTAATCTTGAGGTGAGCAGCTTTGAAGTAGCCAATCTTGCTCAAAGACCCGCCTTGACGATACAACGGAGGCACACCATCATCATTCTTGCGGCTTGAGGAAAACATGCTTGAAAATTCTGCAAAAGTACAAGGAAGATTTGTTAGAGAGTTGTTTAAAAAAAAAAAAAAAAAAAAAGCAAAGCAGCTCTGGGCAAAAAAAAAAAAAAAAAAAAAAAAAAAAAAAAAGTGAAGGCCGTAGGACCCAGCCAACCCGCCAGGCCCCACGGCCTAGTTTGCTTCAGCGCCCAGCGCCCAACAAAAGTCAGAAACTTTTCATCTATGGCGGTGCCATGCCAAAGTTCTCCAAAGCATCCAGTTACCAGTCCTCGATTCCCATCAAGCCAAATCTCAAGCCCAAAGGCATCAAAAAATAAAAAATAAAAAATAAAAAATCAAGAAGATAAGAAAATTAATTTTTTCTTACCTTGAAGCAACGAAAAGCGATCCTTTACACGGGCAAGACGTAGAAGATTGCTAGAGGAGGGGGAACAAATATCCTCTAAGCTCTCTTTTTTCTCTTGTAAGGATGAATAAGTTTTCTCTCTAAAAGTTGATTTAATAATCCACTTAAGGTGGACTTAAATAAGCTTTGGGAAAATTTATTTCCTTTTCCTAGAAGGATTTAATTTCCTATTGAAAGAGAGAATCAACAACAAAATAGGAAGCAATTCAGAGTTTCCTAAAGCAAGAAAATCTCTACACCTATTGCCCTTTTCTGCAAACAGCTCAACAGGTGTGGGGGCATTTGTGGAGCCAAAAATATTCACTAGGCGACACGTGGACTTTTGAACGAAAGAGGACAAAAATACCCTTGAGGCATACCGGGATTCCTACGCGCAAGTAGTGGGTAATCATCCTCAACCAATTCAAAAATGCTCCAGAAGAGGTAACCAATTCCAAATTATCTTATTTTAGGTAATTATTTCCAAAACTTAATTTCTCTAATATATTATTTAGTTAATTAATTATCTAAATAATATATTCTTCTCATATCTCCTAAAATCGTCCCTTAATTATCAATTTGAAACATCCACTCAAACCTAAAAAATAGTATAGGGCCGGCTATCCCATTCAAAACCTAATCCATCACCTTTTTTTCTACCTTTTCCATCATTTCTTCCCTTTTATTAGCCAATCAATACCATAAAGTACTAAAACATTTCCTTTCATATTTAATTAGCCAATTAATTGGCTAATTAAACCTAAAATAAAACCTAAAACTCCCACCTAGTAGCCGGCCACATTCCCTCCCTTCTTTTCCTTACCTTTTCTGATTTCCTCCACTTTATTACCCAAATAAAGCTAGTCATTCAATTTGGTAACTTCCCATTTATTTCTATCATATTTTATTAGCCAATAAAGTGACTAATTAAACCACAAAATTCACCAAAAAACACACAAAGGGGCCGACCACTTTCTTGAAAAAGTGGACCAACTTAGTCCTATAAATAGTCACCCATTTTTACCAAACACTCATTCCAAACCTCTTGCAAAAATTCTAAAACACTCTAAACACTATTTCTCTCTAAAATTCTAACTTTGGCATCGGAGGTTCTTCGGCCAAAGCCCCCCCCATTCATCGTGGGCGCGTGAGGCTTTTGGCCTTAACCTAAGGTGCTAGTTGTTTTGTAGGTGCAAAATCGTCCAAGATCGAAGAGGTGAAAATTTGCATCCACAGCACGCATACTGTGATTCCATCATCAATTCTTATCACTTTAAACTCATTTGACAACACCCATCACCATGCAAAAAGGCCTAGCCTACCTAGGTTTCCTACCACATCATCACATCACCAGAAAACCTAGCTTTCCTAGGCTCTCATCATCACCCTAAGCCATCATCTTTTACCAAAAATGTCACATGCATCCTGAATGCTGATGTTCATTTTTAATTATCACCATATTTTAAATGGATAATATCCTGACATGCATGCTTCATTATCTGATGTCGTGCATATCTGTCAACCAAAATTGATCCAAACCACATATCCACATCCACATCAATCTGAATTGTGCCGCCTGTTTCCAGCTTGGAGATATATTATTTTCATAAGAAAATGTCAAGATAAATCATTATTAAAAGATAATCATGATAAAAGAAACCATAATGTTATCTTTTAACCTTACTAAAATTGTCTTCACTTTTCCATCGACAGTGTGGAGGTATGCTTACTCAACGGTCTCGATTACTTAGGCCGATGGTGTAATTTTGGGTCCAAACACCTTTATAAAGATTTAGGTTACTTTCAAGCCAAAAGCCTAAACACTTTTTCACTAAAAGGTGGCATTCAATTTACCCCCCCAAGCCTTCATCTTTTCACTAAAAGGTGGCATTCAATTTATTTTTAATTTTATATAAGATGTAAAATGAGAATGTTCATTTGCCAAGTGCATTTGATAACAAGCAATTTTGAATGTCCCAAACATTTGAGGGGCCTGTGTGAGTGAGTCAACACACCCCATATAAAATGCACCCCATGTTGAGTTTTCACGTTCCAAGATCCTCTTTTTGCTACCATTCTCATTTCTCCCTGGCTAGCTATTTTCCATTCCTCGCAAACATAGCTAGGCCAAACCTCTAAAACTAAGAAACAAAAAGTAAAAAATGGGTGTTCTTGTCAAGCTTATTGATGCGTTACTCTTTCTCTTGCTCCTGGCGATCGCTTTCACAACGCCATTGATTGAAGCGCAAGCATGCCTCCCTCGCAATCTCTACCCGGACATTCTCGTGGACCTCAGGAATTGGTACACTCGTGAGTCCGGCGACTATCTCATGACCGAAATGCCTGATTTCTACGTCGGGATCATGTGGGTTGAGCTTGTTTTCCAGTGGCCTCTCGTGATAGTTAACCTTTACGGTATCTTGGCTGGAAAGCCTTGGTTCAACATTACGTGCTTCAGCTATGGAATATTTCTTTTCACTTCCATGGTAATTACTCATTTTTATCATGTTTCATAATCTTTTCAAATAAAATTATTTGTATCATCTCAATTAACGGTTTTTCTTAATATATATAATTTTTTTAATGGAAATCACGAGACCCATGTCACCCATTTGTGTTGGAGAAATCCACATAAAATAATCAGCTGAGATGATACAACTTATTTACTCCCTTAATTTTTCATGCAGGTGCCAATATTTGCAGAATTGACGTGGTCAGGAAGGGCACATGATAAGCTACTGACGGTGTACTATTGTTTCTTGAGTTTGGGAGTTTTAGCCATACTTCGTGGGCTGCTACCCAACTCATCAACCAAGCATGCTGTAACCATTGGCAAGAGACCCGCTTCAGGCAGGAAGAAGAGAGTTTAATCAAGGAAAAAAAACCCGACTCTCGCTCGAACTTCAACCCGAATTTTGTAATCGTGAATCAATCTCATTGCGAGAGTAGTCTGTATTAATTCATCACTGTGATTGCCGTTTGAGTCGTGCCTAGTTAAGACTTTATATTGTACGGAGGAAATTAATATATCTTAAAAACAAATTGTAATGTTTTTCGTAGAATGATATTTTTCCCAAGTATTCTTTTTACGACTCTATCGAGTAGTGTTCCTTTATCAAACATTTTGGTATATTATTGTGTGACTCTCCATATAAATCATGGTTGTACCTTTCCGTATCAAATTATCTAATAAAAATGCATTTCTGAAACAGCGACGTTAGTTAGTGAATAAACAAAGACCACATGAAGATGGTGTGCCTGTGCAAGTATTTTTAAAGATCTAGTTTGCAACGTAAGTTATAAGGGGTTAACTAAGTGTCGACATTTTTTGTTTTAAGATCTAGTTTGCACCCAGGTTCAAAGTAAAAACATATTATTCTAGCCAACTTAGCTATGCGCATGTCTACTTTCTTTGTTGAGATTTGTTGATGCATAAAACCGAAGGTCTTGGAACAACGTAAATCCGACCGTGAATCTGCAAGAAATGTAAATAACACAAGATGTATCGTGGTTCACCACAATGTTTGGGCTACATCCACACTAATTATTGTATTTCTGAGAGGATTGTGAGGGAGAGAGTGTGAGAGCCTCTGTAATGAGAGTGAGGCTCTCCTTAGGGGATGAGAGGCTTAGGAAATGGCCTCCCCTAATTGTGAGGGTGAGGAGTCCTTTTATAGAATAAGGGCTCCTCACTTATTACATATTTGCCCATTCCTTTATTACATAATTACATTTAAGTGCTCTGAGTATTTGTACGATATCTGAATACGGAGGCCCTAAGTATGGTATAAACAATAGTCCCCCAAGTCTTCAGTCAAGAGAGTCTTTTGGCTGGAGACTTGAAATTTAGTCCATGTGTGGGCCGCAGTAACTAGATGTTGTCTTGAACTGATGCTCGGTATGCGGCGGTGCCCAATCTGAAATGATGCTCAATTAGAAGTAGCACATGTTGCGAAGCTGCTCGGTTTGTGGCTTATGTTGCCTTGGTTGGTTCGGCTTGTGGTGTTAAAGGTGAGGGAGTCCCTTTTATAGAATAAGGGCTCGCTCCTCAATACATGAATGATGGGTTAGAGTTGATGCTCTCTAACGATGATGAAGGAGTCCCTTTTATAGAATAAAGGCTCGCTCCTCAATACATAAGTGATGGGTTAGGAGTGATGATTACGGCGAGGCGGTTGCTCAGCTGGCGGCGATGCTCTCTAATGATGGTGAGGGAGTCCCTTTTATAAAATAAGGGCTCGCTCCTCAGTACATGAAGAATGAGTGCTCTCTAATGAAAGTGTGGGAGTCCCTTTTATAGAATAAGGGCTCGCTCCTCAGTACATGAAGAATGAGTGCTCTCTAATGAAAGTGTGGGAGTCCATTTTATAGAATAAGGGCTCGCTCCTCAGTACATAAATAATGGGCTAAGTCCCTCAAGTATTTTTTATGAGGCTTAGTTGATGCCCAATATATGGTACATAATGTAGTCCCCCAAGTCTTCGGTCAATAGAGTCTGTTGGCTGAAGACTTCAAATTGAATCCATGTATGGGCCGAAGTGGTGTTTGTTCGGAGGTGGTATTTGTATACCCTGCACTGAAGCTTTGTAGGTGAAGCTTTGCAAGTGAAGCTTTGAAGCTAGAGCTCTGTAAATGAAGCTTTTGAAGCTAGAGCTTTTGTAAATGAAGCTTTTGAAGCTAGAGCTCTGTAAATGAAGCTTTTGAAGCTAGAGCTGTTGTAAATGAAGCTTTTGAAGCTGATTGACATGAGTGATACTCATGAATGTTTATGTTGATTGACATGAGTGATGCTCATGGATGTTGTTAAGAGTGATGCTCGTGAATGTTGACATGAGTGATGCTTATGAATGTTGACATGAGTGATGCTCATGAATGTTTATGTATGATTGATATGAGTGATACTCATGAATGTTTATGTATGATTGACATGAGTAGTGCTCATGTATAATTTTAAAGTACTTAGCGTACTTTTGATCACCTGGTTGGTGGTAATAGCAGCAAACTGCTGAATAAATTTGGAGTATTGGGCGTACTTTTGATCACCTGGTTGATGGTACTAGCGGCAGGCTGCCGAATAAATTTGGAGTACTGGGTGTACTTTTGATCACCTGGTTGGTGATAATAGCGGTAGGCTGCCGAATAATTTTGGAGCCGTAGGGCCTGGCTCTTTTGGGCATATGGGCCTTGGCTCTCCACATATCAGTCCAGCCCATTATTTTTGGCTTGACGTTTTTATTTTTTATTTTATTTTTATTTTTTATTTTTTATGTTGATTACCCTTTGATGGGGTTTATACAGATGTCTCCGAAAGATAAGAAAAATAAATCACATCATACAAAAACAAGAAAAGTAAGTCACATCATTCCGGTGGGGTGTTTATTCCTTGCTTTTGCTTTCTTTTTTGCTTTCTCTTTTGCTTTTGTTTCCCACTCCATTTCCTGCAGCTTTCAAAATTGCAGGGGTTGGATTATTTCTGCTTGCTGGGATGAAATAGTAGGGAAGCATGATAGGAAAGCCACAAAGTTGCCCTACTGTCGCCAACCAATTGCCTTTTACTTTTCCTTTTCTCTTTTCCACCGTACCTCTCTTTTTGTCTTTGTCTCTGCGCTGCTGTCATGCATCTACAATTTAATCATTAAACTCTTCTTTACAGTTTGTCTCCTACTCGCTTGCGGTCCTACCCAGTCAAATCCCAATCTCTCAGATTTTATTCTCTTCTCATCGGACATTCCCATTTCATCGAGGATGTTGTCTTCTTCTCCGACGGTCAGTTTGCATTGTTCGGATCCTGGGACAGCAAGCTCCGTCTCTAGGACTTGGCCTTCGACGTCTCTGCTTTTTTGTCTCAGTACTATTAACCTTCCTCGGGCTCCGCCTTTTGATTAGGGCAAATTTGAACTTCTGGGTCTGTTGCTTAACAGTGACGGAGGTTTGTGGGAGCCCAAAAATGTGTTTTCTGATAGAGTTGGGAAAAGCTCGAGGTTTGAGGGAGGGCATGGACAAGTGGAGGACTGAGATGGTGCCAACTCCTGCTGCGAAGTTGATTGAAAAACATGAAGAAAGCGCCTGCTTGGTCAAAAGAGACAAGGGGCAGGAAGGAGAAAAAAACATCCATTGCACTTGCAGATAGAGGGAAACTGTGCGAAATGTAGCATAGAAAATACCGGTCATCCTATATTCTCTTTCCCAAAAAACAAGCAGAGGGTTTCTCTCGAGAAGTTCTTGGACAAAGCAGGCTCTCCGACGGAGACGACGGTGTAATTCCCTTTTTGCCTTCACTGGAACTTGGACCTCCTCGCCAACAATCCCGAGAACACTACCTTCTTCGACGGTGTCAGAAGCATCCCCTTCAGCATCAGACTGGCCCCTAGCGACTTGGAGGAAAGGGGATGCGATGAGGAGGACGGCGCACTAGCATTTACAGGTAGAGATGAATTGACAGAAACTGCATGGGAAACTGAGGGAGAGCCTGATGGACCAAGAGCCAGATCTGGTTGATTAGAAGCAACATCGACGTCCGGGTCTGGCTCATCCCAAACCAAACGACTCGTCATGAACTCTCTAAAAGCGAGCTTCAATGCTCGTGCATCCTCCATTTCGCCGTCTTCAGCCACTTCATGTTCTCTGGTAGATTCGCGAAGTTCAAAACATTTTCCGAGCGCACCTTCTTCCAAAATTTGCAGCTCAGCCGAGGAGGCAGAGACAACGTCGAGGGTGACGGTGGAGGCTCAGATTCTTTCGAGTTTCGGAGCTGCTGGTTTAGCTGATTGATTTGATCTGTCCGGCGATTCATGGCTTCAGCGAAGATGGCCCTGTTGATAGGCACGCTGGTTAAAGAGAATGGCGTCAAGCTCGAGGAAAGCCTTAATGTCTTCAGGTCTGACAAGTTCGATTCCCAGAGCTACGTCCAGTCACGATGCTCTCTCAACCAGAAGGATATAAGACAATTATGTTCATATCTTTTGGACTTAAAGAGAGCTTCCGCCGAGGAAATGCTTATACGTGTTTATGCTAACTTTTTAGCCTTCATACGCACCTTCAAAGAGATATCAGATTTAGAGAGAGAGAGCTATAGCTTAAGAAATAGTAGCAATTACAAAGATGGAGAAATCAGATCAGATCTCTGGATATTGGTAATGGGAAGGACCCAAATGTGTATGCTTCCAAGTGGTTGTGACTTTGGTGTTGCAGTGGTGTAATAGTATGATGGGTTTTGCAGATTCAAGGCGGAGGTGAAAATTTGAGAGAGAACCGACATAACTTTTCATGTCGTTTCCCACAGACGGCGCCAAATGTTGATGCACAAAACCGGAGGTCTTGGAACAACTTAAATCCAACCGTGAATATGCAAGAAATGTAAATAACACAAGATGTATCGTGGTTCACCCCAATGTTTGGGCTACGTCCACACTGATTATTGTATTTCTGAGAGGATTGTGAGGGAGAGAGTGTGAGAGCCTTTGTAATGAGAGTGAGGCTCTCCTTAGGGGATGAGAGGTAGGATATGGCCTCCCCTAATTGTGACGGTGATGAGTCCTTTTATAGAATAAGTGCTCCTCACTTATTACATATTTGCCCCTTCCTTTATTATATAATTACATTTAAGTCTCCGGAGTATTTGTACGAGATCTGAATACGGAAACCCTAAATATGATATAAACAAGATTATTTTGATTGGTTTTGATCATTAAGAGCGCGAGTATGAGGGGTTAACTGGGTGTTGACATTTTTGCTTTAAGTATGAGAGAAAAAGTATGAAACAAGTGCCAGATAAAACACTATATAATGAAAAGGGTATTTTCATTGTAAATAATGCTATCTGTAGTTCTATGACCACATTAAAGACATTTATTAATCAAGATATTACCTTTAAATATTTTTTGCCTTAAATATAATCAATTTTCTGGATCACACTCTAGGATATGTATCAAATTCTCTAACAATAAGAAATTGCTGAGCTAATTAACAATTTAACATGCATGTTAGTGATGGATCTCTGGAATTATATAATATCAATAAGAGCAGACTTTGTTTACCCAACTAGCTTTTCAAAGATGATGTGCCAATAGGCCCTACACAAATATCTCCAAGATCCACTTTTGCATCACAAACTGTGAGAAAGAGAAAAACACAGCATCAAAATATGGGTGTTTTTGTGAAGATAATCGACGGGTTTCTCTTTGTGAATTTTGCCATGGCGGCGGTGTGCGCGGTGTTGATAGATACACAGTTGTGTCTGCCTCCAAGCCTCTTCCCAAGCTCGGTGGTGGAGATCAAGAACTGGTATGCTCGCGAGTTCGATGATTATCTCGTTGAACAGAAGCCTCATTTCTTGGTTGGCCTCATTTGGGTTGAGCTTATATTGCAGTGGCCTCTTCTCGTTGCCAACTTGTATGCAATTTTGACTGCTAAGCCTTGGTTCAACACCACCTGCTTGGTCTATGGCGTCTCTTTCTTCACTACCATGGTAAACTTCTTCTATCCTTTTGTACCACATTTATTGCATCATTGGTGCTTCTAGTGAGTAAATGTGGTGTAAATAGTAGCACTTGAGTCTCAAATACATGGATATGACCCGCCTATATTAGAAGGATTGAGGTCCACTCTAGATTTTTGTATTCGGAGTCTATAGACCAAGAGATCTGTATCAATACTAAATTTTAATACTACGGTCCTATTAGCAAATCCAACAGGCTCATTTCACAAAAATTAAAAAATTTGAATTACCCAAATCTCTCTCTCTTTGAGTACATCAATATTTTTACACTAGGTGGAGGGGGAGGGGAAGTTTGGCTAAACCATACAATGGACAGCCTAATTTGGTATCGAATTTGCCATTCATGAGATTCTAACTAAGACCTCTCACTTCTAAACGAAGATGAATATCACCAAACCGTAGTACTGAGTGGCAGATCTCTGTCTCTTGAACAGTCTAGATCTCTCAATTTGCTGGCTACGGTTGCATAGATCCGGAGTGGATCACATTCCCTATTAAAAGAGGTTTCAACGAAGTGACTTGTAATATGGAATAAATAGCATTATAGTTTTATTTAACAGTAGATAGATCAAGGAGAGGAAATGGGACATATATCTGGCGTTTCCTTGAACTCCTCCTAGAATAAGAACTGAAACTAATTCTACTGACATGTATGGCTGACGATTATAAAATATTGGGTGCTTTAGAAATATTGGGTCCTTTATTTCTTAAACTTGTAACATGTTTTGTGGCTTGAAAATTGCAGGGCGCTGTATTAACAGAGATGTTAAGGTCCGGCAAGGCATCTAAGAAAATGTTGAATGTGCACTACGCTGCTATGGGGTTGGCTGTTCTGTCCATACTGCGCGGTCTGCTCCCACCGTCCGCTGCCGCTACTCCAACCAGCGGCAAGGGAATAACCAAAAGGACAGACCCACGAAAGAAAACGATGTAGACCTCAAATATTTTTATCATTTTTGTTTTCTGGTTAATTATACGCTTTGTTTGGAAAAAAAAAAGGGGGTTGTTTAGATATAGACCTTTGTAATTGATATTAACCCACCTCATATTAAACATTCAAATAAAACCCAAAATTCAAATAGTCTGCCTTGTTGGCAAATAAATGACATATCCTTATAAAATATTTACAACTTATGCCATAATGACCTAAATATGTCAATAAATATTATTATTACTCACCTTCAATTATGCTAGCAATGAGCAATTGAGCTCCTGTTTTAAAACCACGTATTACAAACTATTTACCTATATTTTAAAAATTCACTAATTTACCTACATTCTTTTGATACACACTAATTGACCTACATTCTTTTGATGCAAACTATTTACCTGTATTTAAAAAAAAAATCACTAATTTACATACATTCTTTTGTTACAAGCTAATTTATCTGCATTTTTGTAGTACATACTATTTACCAATCTACTTATTAATTTACCTATACAAATAATACTGTCATATTATTACTTATAATATCCAAAGTAATCATATAGATTTTTTCTTTACAATATCACACCTATGGGGTAGGTAAATTATTTTTACAGGATTTCTATTCTAAGTGGGTACTAACATATAGATAGGTAAATTGTTTTCTATGGAAATAAAAAAAAATACAACCATTATTTTGTATAATTTTTTTTGACAAAAATTATTTTTGTCCATGTCTCAATGTAAAACACCATAATATTTTATTTATTTATATTATATATTGCATGCTAATAAGGTAAGCTAGTTTCACGATAAAACAATTTTTGGTAAAAAAATTTGATAAAAAAAGCCTAATCAAATAATAGGTTAATTGACATTAAGTTGCATTGAAAATTTAAAATGAAAATTTTATTATTAATTATAAGTCAAACCTAACTCACGTTACACTCTATGAGGGTATTTTAGGAACACAAGAATTATAAAAACTGACATACCAAGCTTGTTAAGGAAATTTGCTTAGTCGGACTCTAATAAATGGGGTTTATGTCTGAAAAAAAAAATAAAGAGGATGGGTTTTAAGTGAGAGATAATAAGTTTTAAGGGGGAAACTCTCATTTTCAAAAAAAAAAAAAAAAATTATACGCTTCAACGAAGATCCAAAAAAACTTTGTAAGAGTTAATCATTGTGATTGCCAGGACAGGCTATGAGATTCAATAGATGGAGGTATGAGTTATTTTAATGTGGAACTCTTTTTTTTTTTTTGTTCTCAAATTCTATTGATGAATTTTCCCTCTTGGTTCTTATTGCTAGAGGTGAAAATGGATTGATGAAAATAAGGAAGAATATTTATTAATTTTTTACCATAGTTGTACACCATGTGTTACTACTAATCTATTTATATTATAACACGTCGTCAAGCGCCAACAAACTACTCTAAATCATTCATTACATAACAACAACATCACTCATCTATATAATAAATTTATGGACCAATATAAAATAATACCAAAATAAGGTATGACTGTTTTGCTTAAAAATTTACCCATTATCTGATTATATATTAATCAAGATTGTCCCGGCATGTGATTCAATATTTATATTATAGTGGATAGGTTGTTTGGTTTCCATCATGCCTTCTATGTTCAAAACTCATCTTCACATAAATTATTGTAATAGTTTCGAACCCAACTCCTCCCTTTAATAATAATTAATATAAAAAAAAATCAAGATTGTACCTTTAAAAATGAATTGCCTTATCAATCAACCTTCCTGCTCAGCAAATTTGACTCATGTATCAAACTGTTTAACAAAAATTTATTTAACATGCATTTTAGTGATGGATTTATTAAACAAATGCCAACCTTTAGAATTTAAATAGTTGAATGAGAGTAGACTTTCATAACCCATGCTAGCCTTCCAACATATATAGTGTGCCTATATAAGTATCTCTGAGATATAATTTTTCAACTTCACAAGCGAAGGAGAGCAAAACAAAGCCTAATAAATAGGTGCTTTTGTGAAGATAATAGACGCCATACTCTTCGTAATTTTCGCCTTAACGGCGGTGAATGCGGTGCTGATAGACGTGTAGCTGTGTCTGCCTCAGAGCCTCCTCCCAAACTCGCTGGTGGAGCTCAAGAACTGGTACGTCCGTGAGTTTGCCGATTATCTTGGTGAAGAAAAGCCTCATTTTTTCGTTGGCCTCATTTGGGTTGAACTCATACTGCAGTGGCCTCTTCTCGTTACCAAATTGTATGGGATTTTGGCAGCTAAGCCTTGGTACAAAACACTTGCTTGCTCCATGACGCCTCCTCCTTCACCACCCTGGTGACATCCTAGCTACTCTATCATTTTTACCAAGCTCCAATGTTAAATTAGATTTTAACTTTGATAATTTAGTTAGCTACTTTGTATGTTATATATTATGTATCCAGAATCATATAATCTTATAAAAAATGACAATCTGATTTTCTACATTTTTCTTACTTTTTATATTTATATGAACAAATTGATCTTCAATTGGTTGCTGATTTTGCTACTTAATGGGTTTGTCGCAAACTCATACATACCCCTGCAGCCTGAACAATTTATATGGATTTGTCACCATGGTTAATCTGTTTTGATTCCCTGTTTCTTCACTGTTCAATTTCTAGTTAGTTCAGATTTAGTTACATAGGTTTTGATTGAGATGTTAAGTACAATGTTGAAGTAAATATGTTTTTATTTAAATATTTAAATATATTTATGTTTTGTTTTATTACTAATATTATATACATAACGTTTTGTATTATTCTATGCATAACAGCCAATTGATTTTGGCTTTTCAATGAGATAAGGAGTTACAGCTTTTTAAGTTTGAAAGGTGCCATTACTTCTCTGAATAGAGATGAAAATTCTGACATGATACACAATAAAACCGTTTTATTTGACTTACGTTTTGATTTTGTCCTGCTTTCAATTCTCTCAAACCTTCAACGTCTCTTTATTCTAAATGTATATAGTAGTTCCTAGAATCATTGGAGATATACGAAAATTATATATATTTTCTGATACATAGTTTTGGTAAGCAACATATTGAGAGGGTGTGAGTTCAAAGGTTCTTCCAGTGTGCAAGGAAGAATCTTATGAGAAGGAGGTTCTGGGCTATTTTATCCTGGGGACGACGTGGTGTTTGTGAACTGCTTGCACACTTTGGGCAGAGCCGCGAAACGTCTTAAAGAGAGCGACTTAGTTCGCGACTCTTCCCAAGAATCATTCACCACTCAAGGCTACTACAATTTTCGAGTAACTTCGTTCCTTTCTATTTCCGTTTTCAACAATTTTAAGACGGTATCAATCTGTCATGGAATCTGAAAACAACACCACACTCGACCTTAACAAGCCTTCCAAGTTTGAGGGTCTCCATTTTAAGCGTTGGAGGCAGAAGATGTTATTTTTTCTCACCACAAAAAAATTGGCTTCATTTTGCACCACTGTCAAACCAACTCTCCCTAAAGAGCCCACTATTGCACAGACTAAAGCTTCACAAACTTGGATTGAAAATGATTTTCTTGCTAAGAATTATATTCTTAATGGATTGTCTGATGACCTTTATGACTACTACTCTGATTATGGCACTGCTAAAGATTTATGGGAGGCACTTCAGAAAAAATATGACACTGAGGAAGCTGGAGCTAAGAAATTTGCTGTTAGTCGTTATTTGAAATATCAGATGGTTGATGATAAATCTGTTGAAGCACAATCTCATGAATTACAGAAAATTGCTCATGAAATTATTTCTGAAGGTATGGTTTTAGATGATCAATTTCAGGTTGCTGTCATCATTGATAAATTGCCACCAACCTGGAAAAATTTCAAGAACTCACTCCGCCACAAGACAAAAGAGTTCTCCCTGGAAAGCTTGATCACTCGACTTCGCATTGAGGAAGAGGCCAGGAAACAAGAATTGAAGGAGGAAATTTTGGTTGTGTCAAGTAACCAGAAGGCTACCAACTTCAACCGGAACCAGACTCTAGCTGTGCTGAAGCCAAATGGGAAGAACATGAAGATTCAGAACAAGAATCACAACAAGTGCTTGAACAACAACACGAACAAGGTTCAGAATCAAAATCCCTCTCATCTCCAGAATAGGTATCAACCCCCCCATGTGCTGCTTCTGATTCGCGACAGTTTGAATGCTATAACTGTCACAAGTTGGGCCATCTTGCCCAGAATTGCAGAAATAAGAAAAGCCCTGCTCCACAGGCAATTCTTGTTGAAGAGCAACTGATTGCAATGATATTAGAAATCAACTTTGTTGATGGATCCGAGGGGTGGTGGGTGGACACTGGTGCTTCTCGCCATGTTTGCTATGATCGTTCTCTTTTCAAGACCTATTCTGTGGCTGAGGGTAGGAAGGTGTTGTTGGGTGATTCTCACTCAACTGATGTTGCTGGTACTAGAGAGGTGGAGCTGAGGTTCACCTCTGGAAAAACCATGATACTGAAAGATGTGATGCACGCTCCAGCAATAAGGAAGAATTTGGTCTCGGGCTTTCTTCTCAGCAAGGCTGGATTTACTCAAACCATTGGAGCAGATACGTATACTCTTACTAAAAATGGGGTTTTTGTGGGAAATGGATATGCTACTGATGGAATGTTTAAATTGAATGTTGATAAAATGTCATAATTGAGTCACTTGATGTGCTACTTAGGTCAACCATGGCTTTTGGATGGTTAAGAAATAAGTTATAAACATCAGAGTTTTATTTTCTATCCTCTTTCCTCTTTATTTATTTTTTGTTTGGTACAAGTTTTTATTCCTTCTTTTTATTTTGAAATGGTATTTTCTTGGTTCCAACTCTGATTTCTTGACACACCCCGTCCCGAAGGAGGGCATGCTGGCCGTCACGTGAGAGTGACGTAACCATTTGCACAGTACGGAAGCTTTAATTTATAATTTGATACACCCGAAGGTGAGTCCTAATTTTGTCCAATCTGTCAGAAGCCCGCTGAATTCCTCGTAGTCACCACACCTTTGTGATTCCTGAACCTGGAGGGGCGCAAAACCAAAATTGAGTGGGTCAGTAAAACAATTCTTTTCCAATTCCAAACATTTCTCAAAACGTTGTAACCCCTCTCCGTAAAACCTGTATACTTTCCCAGAAATGTAAAATATAAATATACATATATATTCTCAATACTTACTTTTCATTAAC